TTTTTTTTTTTTTTTTAAATGTATGGGTATGGGTTCATATTGGATTTATAATGACCATGATTGAATGTTTATTTGTATATGTTCATTTCCACCTATTTTTATATTTAGGTGTTTTACCTTTGCTGTCATCTAAGGTTCATTTAAAGGTAAAATTAAATTCACTTGTAACATTTAACTTGTATTAAATGTATTTAATGGACCCAGAAAACTTTTAAAATTTTTTATCAAGTACAATTAATCAATTAATTAATCAATTGATTAGAGACAAATAATTCTTATAGAGTTATGTATATACACTTTTATTTTAATCTTTTTTCTTTATTATTAAATGTATTAAATTTATTATAGTGCTTGTATTTATTAAATGTTTAATCTGTATCTGCCATGAAATAGCCTGTGAAACTGATTAGGCAATAAACTTAAATAAAACAACATTACATTTAACAAAATTATTTTAACTGAATACTATTCATTTTATTTCTGATGTGTTTTATTTTCCATTTTTTATGCAATATCTTATGGAATTTTAATATTGACCAATTATCAGTTATTGTTTAAAATATGAAAATACTTATCGTCTTACTGGTATCAGCCAGAATTTGTATATCTATGCATCTCTAATATTTTTTATTAGTGTTTCGCTCATAAATATTTCATGTTACAGAAGTAAAATGGCTTGTGAATGCTGATTCATGTTGACTTTAAGCAAACAGTTAATACTGATGCAGTTTCATCTGCTTTAGACCTTCCTCACATTAGACAAACCTATAAAAATTCATCCAAGGTGTTCAGAATCTGGTTATGGCATAGCACCGCTACAGTCCCATTTTGTGTTTCTCGACACTGTTTGTGTTGCGTGTGTCTCTCTTTTTCGTACACCTACTCCTATCTTGTTTTATTTCTCTCCACCTGACTTTTTAGCTCCTTATTCTCTCTCTCTCTCTCTCTCTCTCTGGCTCTCTCTTTATCTCCTCCCTTCCTTTCTCAATTTTAGCTTATTCTGATTCACCTCCTCTTCTGTTACTTGCTCCACCCTTTCTAGCTTCCTTCCTTTTCCTCTCTGTCTCTTTGTCTCTGTCTCTTTCTCCAGATTCTCTGGCTCTCGCCCCCCAGGGCAGGCCGCCGCGTTTAGACAGATTGAAGGTGAACCTCGCATGGTTCCTCTCTGCCATTCTCTCCTCCCCTCCTCTTCCTTTTCTCTCTCTTTCCTTCCACTTCTTTCTTTAGCTCAGCATCAACACCTCTCTCTCTCACTCTTGCTCTCTCTCTCTGGTCCGCCTCTTTCTGTCTTTTGTCTCTGTTGTGTCGTGCCTACTCTGACCGAAGCGTGTCTTGTGGGGGTGGTATCTGTTTTTGTACCTTGTTCATTGCAAGTCATTTGGATTTTGCGCAACTTTTATACCGTGCGGTAAACAGGCATGAGCCTGCTTTTAGACAAAATCTCTGCTGCTATGATGTGCTCAGTTTAAGGAGGAAAATCACTGACTCTGAAAATGAAATCCAAATGACTTGCAGCATCAGCAGGACATTTGTGCATGCTGTGCACATTTTCTTCTTTGCCTGTTTGCCATCTTCTTGTCTCTGCATCTGTCTGTATGTTAGCCTGTCTGTCCATTTTATATTTTTGATTGTGCTTCATCAGACCCAAAACGTACTCATGCGTCTCAACAGGCCCCTCACATTTCTCCAACCTGCTGATGTACACATGTTGTAGATCACAGGAAGACTTTCAGCTCTTCACATGGTGGCCCACACACACACACACACAAGCATCTCTGACCTTATTACAGTACATCGGTGAAGGAAAGGTTAATCACTTTCAGCACCAAAATTATTTCTACACTTTGGGTTGTGTTTCCAATTTAACTAGGGTTGGGGATCAAGAACTTAGAAATTACTGGAACCAAATATTTTTCAGCGTTTTTTTTTGGTTTCTAAACATCTTCATTGCTTCATTTTAGCTAAGCTGTGAGATTGCAATCTGAATTGAATGTGATGAGAAAGATAATGTGCAAAATAAGATAAGACAATAAACTGACAACACACTCTATATTGCAATCTATGTTGCAGTCCAATTCATGATTGAATTGAATGATTGAAGCAGACCTTTTTAATGGACTTTTACTCTCATTTATGTCCAAATCGAAATTAACTGAAAATGGTTAATGAGTTATATATGATTATTGCTTGTGAGATTACTGACTAATATGACAACATGTACTTAAAGCAATGTTTTTTCAGTATTATTTATATACTATTATAGTATTTATTCATATTCTGAATTAGCTTTTTATTTTTTATTAATTTTAGTTTTATTACTTTGTTCATTTTTATTCGTTTTTGTTTTTTAAATATTTCTATTTAGCTTTAATTTATTTTACAGTTTTCATTTTAGTAATTTTACTTCTTCAATTTTAATTTATTTTATTTCAAATAGTTGCAAAGGCAACATTTCTAATTTTCTTTCATTTTTCATCTAATATTTTATTTTATTAATATTTTTAGTTTTAAAAGTAGGTTGTGTTGCTTCCTTAAAGGGGTCATCGGATGCTACATGCACTTTTACAAGTTGTTTGAACTGAAATGTGTGTGTACACAACCACCCTATAATGATAAAGATCCACCCAGTGTTTTTTTTTAATCTACTAAAATCTATATCCCTTTCTCAAATCGAGCCAATCTCAAATGCCTCCGCCCTGAGTGAACTGTCATCAGTCCGCCATTGTTTCACCGCCGAAGCAGGAGTAGACAAGAAATGACTCCTAAGCGATTGAGGTGTTCTGTTGTTGGATGTAATTATGAACATAGCAGTCGTCATTTACTCCCGACATCTGAGCCACTGAAGACGCAGTGGATTATGTTTGTTTTTGAAGGGAATGCACCCCCGATCTACCTAAATGCGTCTATGTTCATGCGAATCATTCTTGATCCAGCTTCACCTACAGTAGAAGTGAGTATAAAGGTTTTTTAATGAATCTTTGCAAATCGCCTTTCCTAATAATGTGCTAATTAGCAAGTTTCACAATGAATGCAGCTAAAGTAAACAGTCCCTCAGAGAGCGGCTCGGAAGAGAGGGGCGG